CATGCATGAGGCCCTGGGTTCGATTCCTCAGCACCACATAAGCAAAAAGAAAAAAGCCGGAAGTGGCACTGTGGCTCAAGTGGTAGAACGCTAGCTCTGAGCTGAAGAGCTGAGGCCCAGAGTTCAGGCCCCACAACTGGACCCAGAAAAAAAAAAAAAGAACACAAGGCTCTGGGTTAAATTCCCAACAGTGATAATAACCATCTAGTAGGAGGCAAAGCAAAGCTTTTTGTTTTGAGACAGGTTATTGCTATGTATACCAGGCTGGTCTGGACTTTATGATTCTCCCATCTCTCCCTCCTCCAAATGCTGGGATTACTAGGATGGACCACCATGCCAAGCTCTCTTAGAATTTTATATTTTAATACTTTACCTTTAGGGGTGTGTGTGTGTGTATGTTGGTCCTGGAGCTTGAACTCAGGTCTTAGGTATTGCCTCTGAGCTTGTTTTTTTGTTTGGTGTTCCTGGGGCTTGAACTCTGGGCCTGGGCACTGTCCCTGAGTTTCTTTTGCTCTACCACAGCACCACTTCTGGCCTTTTCTGTTTCTGTGGTACTGAGGAATCAAACCCAGGGCTTCATATATGCTAGACAAGCACTCTACCATTAAGCCACATTCCCAGCCCCTGAGCTTGTTTTTGCTCAAGGCTAGCGCTCTATCAGTTTGAGCCACAGTGCATTTCCAGCTTTCTATTAGTTAATTGGATATAAGAGTCTCACAGACTTTCCTGCCCTGTCTGTCTTTGAATCTCAATCCTCAGATCTCAGTCTCTTGAGATGCTAGGATTAAAAGTTTGAGCCAGGAATACCCGGCACCTTTAAAAATTTAAATATAAAGAATTAATGATTAATGCAAACCAAGAAGTGATAGTTACTTATCTTCATACCACATACTGACTATTCTACCCATTTATCAATCATTAAGAATGTCATCTTATCATTAATATATGACCTATGTATGGGTTTCACACACATACTCTCTCTCTCTCTTACACATACACACATATATGAGTCTATTTCTGGATTCCTTAACAAGTTGCATTTTAGTTTGTCATTATGTTCATACCGTATTGTTTTACTCTCTGTAGCTTTAGAACTTATTCAATCTGTAATTTGTCCTTTTTAAGGGTTCTCACAGTTATTACTAGAGTCCCATTCAAAGTATATTCAATATCTAATGAATGTACAAAAGGAAAATCAATTTCTCCCCAAAAACATAACAAAAAAGTCATCTTCTCTGTTACCTTGTAAAGTTCCAGACTAATGCCAGCAGCCATTTTTCCTCCATAGGACTCGGAGAAAATGTAGAATGGAACAGTCTAGCAAGAGGAAAAAGAATTACATAGAATTCAATACTGGATTGCCTTTTAATTCACTCAAAATTTGAATTTCTATTGCAGGTAATGGCCAGACAAAACCAATCTATTTTTGTCTTTCCTTCCCCCCTCATCTGATGATTCTATCTGATTAGATTGCTGACTCTAGGATCATTCACTCAAGCTAAAATCACCTTTTGAGATGACAGAAGCAAAAGCCCACAAACCAATCCTGAGAGTACAAAGGGCTTTTCTGAAATCAGCTAAGAAACGAAGTCTTAGGAAAGCCTACACTTACTCTGATGGCTGTACTGTTGCTACTGCTAGCCCTCTACACAGTTGCTCCCGCCTCTGTCCTTGCTTACCTGGAAGTCCTTGTGGGAACTGAAGAAGGCTTTCAAAAGAACCATCATGTCTGATGCCACTGTAGCCAGGTCCTTTGCATATGCATTGCTGTCATTCACATAACTGAAGCCAGTGCCCACGGGATTATCCACAAACAGGAGACTGGCAGACTGAAGCTACACGTCACATGGGGGAAAAAATTATTATCAGTTGTTCCAATTGTCTCTATATAATCAACATCGCATATCATATATTATCTGTCTCATTACCATCTATTCAGCAAAAATCAGCAGTGATAGCATTAGTGTGATAATATTATCTTGTTGCTGAATGGGATTTGGAAAAAAGGGAAAGAAACATAGATGGCAAGACAAAAGTTGAAGCAAGAAGGAAAGATGAGCACAGGCATTGGGATCCAAGACTTGAAGCCATCACCTCCCACACACACGCATGCACTAAATGTACAGGACGTGCCAGTCTGAGCAGTAGCTCAAAGCAATGACGATCCACTTGAAGTATGGTCCTCACACATGAGGTTTCCCCTCTCTCCCAGATGAATCTAATTTATGCATTGGCCTGCCTTCCCCATGCATTGTAAACACAGACTTCATCCTAGACCTTTTCCAAAAAGACTGAAGATTATAAACTTCTGTGTCTAGAAGGATCCTCAGTGACGACACACGGTCCAGCCACATTTTTTATAGATCAGGAAATCAAAGCCTAGAAAGCACCTGGCACTAGTCCCGGATCACTGAGTTGCACAGGCTGGTGGCAGCCCAGAACCAAGAACCTGGATCCTTCACTCCTCATTCAGGCTTTCTGGCCCTGCCTGACTGCTCTTGGGGCTGGGGAGCCTAGGACAAATCCATGGGAGTACTCTCCTCCTGTTGCCATAGGTGACAAGTATAGAAATGTTCCAGGCCAAGCACAGGGGATGCTGCTCCAAGAAAGTCAGAAGTACAGCTCCTGATGAGATGAAGGCTGGAGGAGCCCCAAAGAAAGTGGAACATTCTCAGAAACAAGTACCACAGGGAGGGGAGCAAAGATCTGAGGGAAGGCCACCGCTGTGTAACAGCCCAATGTGCTGACTGCATAGTTCTGCCCACCAGGGTTGGGCAGGCTGGGAGCAGGGAATGAGTGGTCACCACAGGTGGGCTTGGCAGGGCTGTAAAGTGAGAAGGAGGTTGCTGAGAGTGAAGTGACAGGCAAACCCGAGGGGTGAGGAAGGGTAGTGATGGTAAGAGTGGGGGCGGGGAGGTGGAGGTGGAGGTGATGTAAAAGGGGAGGGGACAAAGGACTTGAAGAAGTTGACAGGATGAAGTTACTGCAAGGTGGGAGAGAGAGAAAAGGACTGGAAGCTGTGGCCGGAGGGTGGGACCTGGAGTGCTTTTTATTTTGTCAGTCGTGGAGCTTGAACTCTGGGCCTGGGTGCTGTCCCTCAGCTTTTCAGTTCAAGGCTAGCACTCTACCACTTGAGCCACAGCACCACTTCCGGTTTTCTGGTGGTTCATTGGAGGTAAGAGTCTCACGGACCTTTCTGCCTGGGCTGGCTTTGAACCTGGATCCTCAGATCTCAGCCTCCTGAGTAGCTAGGATTACAGGCATGAGCCACTGGACACCCGGCTCTGGAGTTCTTATAGATGGCCAGCACCTGGTAAGGACCAGGTCCTGGGTCTGTTAGAGGAGGTTTTGGGGAAGAGTCTGAAGCCTGAGGAAAAGCCATAGAGGGAACTGCTGAGGTTGTGACCCCGCCCTGTGCTGGGCTGGACGAGTGGCAGGGGGGCCGCAGGGGGGCTGTGCTCACTGTACCCAGGTGGTATTTCGTGGTTTGAGATTACTGCTGAGGGGCCCAATTTCCTCAAAGTTGCCGAATCCAGTGCTGGAACCGCCTGGACCACCCTGTGGAGAAGAAAGCACCAAAGGTCAACCTGGAGAAAATGGAGCCAAAACCTACCTCATCATTATAATATGTGACCACACGTGCTTTAAGTGATCAGTGACGGTGATGGCTGTTTGCCCTGCACAAAGGACACAAGTCTCCAGGGCACAGGAGCCTTGCATCTACCCAAGTCCCCGGGGTAGCAGCTGTGAGCTGGGCTACAAGGCCCTGGAGGAAAGTTTCGTATGTCTTGATTCTCTGAGCTTGAGCTTTGGCCTGCCAGTGGACTCACTGATCTTCAGCACTGAACAAGACCTTCAAAGACATCTCCTCTAACCTCTTTCATTTCAAAGGCTCAGAGAGGGCTGTAGCTGGCCTGGTGCTGTCCAGCAATTAGAGGCTATACCAGGACTAGATGCAGGGACCTTAACTCTTTCCCCTCTCTTTTGGGTTCTAGAAAACTGATAAAGTACCCAGAATGAGTGATAGTTTGGTTAATTTTCTGGATACAGTGTAGCAAAAGTCAAGGCCCCACAGAACAGGATATTAAGATGCAGGGGGAAAGAAGGATTCTGAACTGAAGCTAGGTGCTTGCGCCCCCAGTAACTGTGGCGGGCAGTACTTCCATGGACTCTGAAGGGGTCAGAGAAAGGGAGGACAGGACCCAAGGAGCTGGGTACACTCTCTCATTGATCGTGGTGGGAGAAGAATCTTCGGGAGCTAGTCAGGAAAGGAGCGAGCTATTCTGAACAAATCTGTACACAGCCTGTCTGTGCTCTCTGGGCACAGCAGGATAGGACAAAAAGGGAGACAAGATGCAAGGGAAGAACATCTCTAACAAACAGAAGCCAGGCCAATCAGCCTAGGGAAATCCTAAGAAAGGAAACAGGCAAGCAGGAGACAGCTAAGGATTGGCTAAACAGAGGGAGAGGTCCTCACAAGGAAGCGCTTCTCTCACTAACATTCTGAACTGACACAGACTTCACCATGATAAAATCAGAAGACTCCACCTCCCTTCATTACAGGCACTTAGAGCTTAACATTTCCTAACACAATAGGACAAAGTTCACAAACCAGTTGGAGATGTTCATCACAGGGCCACTAATAGAAGCTGTTGGCTCAGGCCTGTAATCTTAGCTACTCAGGAAGCTTAAGATCTGAGGATTGTGGTTCAAAGCTAGCCCAGGCAGGAAAGTTTGTGAGACTCTTATCTCTAATTAACCACCAATAAGGTGGAAGTGGAGGTGTGGCTCAACTCAGGGACAGCACCCAAGTACCAAGCCCCAGTACTGGCACATGCACATGGGTGCCCACACATCTGCACACAAAACACAATTGCAAAATCTTTTATACAGAGTGTTACCATGGCCCAGGGCTACCTAATGACTCTGAAATATGGTAAATGTATGACTAGGTGAAATATTTAAATGACTTGAAAGTGTCCTGAAATAGCAGTAGTATTCCACTGAAGCATGACCTCAATTCTCAAAGACCCTTCCTGCTCCACCCACCGACACACTGGGAGAAGTCAGTACAGGAGACCGAGGCAGGCTGCCAAACAGATCTCCTTTTAATGGAAATGAATTGCTTCTTCCTTTGATCATGTGTTATCTTCTCCTTTGGGCCTCTAGGGAAATGAAGAAGAGCACTTTTATGCCTTCAATAGGATCTCAGCGAGGAGGGTGAACCCAATCAACCCATCGGCTGCAGGTGCTAGGCAGAGGTCCTGGGCAGAGCAAATGAAATGGCGGGGGGGGGGGGGGG